TGTTTATTTCTACAGTTTTAATTGCAACACGTCTTGAGTAGAATGACATTGGTGATTGACTTATATTAAAAGGTGGCGATTTATCCAGTTAGTTAAGAAATCACCTGAATGGTGAAAAACCACAAACCTATACTCTGTGATGAGAAACAAAGTTGTACATTGAAAGCAAGCGATTAACGGAAATGAGAGAGTGGGTAATCGTTGTCACTTGTAGAGTGGTATATGAACCGACTGGTCACCACATAATGCCACATCTCTCTAACGTGTGAAACTACAATTTCCACAATTTATTTGTGTTGCCAGTTACATCATTTTGTCTGGATGTAGAATATGAACACTCGATTTTATAAATGGTTTTTATGAAATCTGATACAGTGAAATAACGGTGTTGATATAGTTGAAATAGTTGTATAAGGTGATTGAGGGTAGTCGACTGTAAAATCTGTTTCACATGAAACACGGAGGAAATGGATCGTTTTCTTTTTCGTGGTGGTTGTCATTTGTGAGAGGATTGAATGTGGACGTCGTCAACGTAAGTGACTGTGATGTATACGATGCGTCACTGTTTTGTATACACATATTTTAAATCTGATCGCATACAACGATTATGTGTACATGACTCTGTTAAAATGTTACTTGTCTTAAGTAGAATGACATTGATGATTTACCTATATTGAAAGGTGTTAATTTATCCAGTTTGTTAAGAATCCACCTAAATGGTGAACAACCACAAACCTATACTCTGTGATGAGAAACAAAGTTGTGCATCGAAAGAAAATGATGATCGTAAATGAAACAGTGGTGATTCGTTGCCACACGTAAAATGATATATATGAACCGATTGATCACCACATAATACCACATCTCTCTAAATTGTGAAACTACAAATTCCACAATGTATTTGTATTGTCAGTTACATCATTTTGTCTGGATGTAGAATAGGAACACTCGATTTTGAAAATGGTATTTTATGGTATTTATGGTATTTTATACTCTCCACTTTAGGTCATATAGTTTATTGTAAAGTAATGTATGTGATTAACGTCGGGAATCATTTTTCAAGTCGTCGGATTTATTTGTCAAGCCTATTCATGAGACACGTACAAATTCTATTGACATATCGAACCCGAAACAGCTAAATGTTACAATAACAACTATTATTTGACGGACAATTAAAATACAGACTGTGTTAATCGTTACTAAACAGGTTTATATCTGATAGATCAATTAATTTTTGGGCGAATAAACTGCTAAATATGAATGAGGTCAACTTTATAAATGGTTATTGGGCTGTACTGAAGTTTAGTTTCGATATGATCATGAAAAGTTTATATCTTCTAGCTGAACAGGCTGAAAATTTGTTATTAAAGTTTAAATGTACTATTATAAAATAGATCGGTATTCATTGCATGATATGAACTTTTGAGTAATCTCGAAATGTGTATTGCTAATATTTGACCTATAATCAGTTTGACTGTAAGGAATGTTTCCTTGAGTTCTAGAGGGAAGCAGTGACCAGTGGAGTTCAACTAAGTTTGTTGTAGAGATATCAACTCACTGAAGACAATGGGTGAACGGTTGCTCAAACATCGTGGATTGGTTGAAGTTGGACATTGACACCGTTGGATGCCAGCTCAGTGGTCTATTGGATAAGTGCACCGGTGAGAGACTGGTAGGTCATGGGTTTGAATCTCGTGAGGCGGGATCGTGGATGCGCATTGCTGAGGAGTCCCATAATAGGACGAGTTGGCCGTCAAGCAGTGGTTCCAGGTTTTCCATGGTGATCTAGCTTCAATGGACTCATGATTTCAACTATGAATATACTGAAATATCCACAAAATACCTTCTGATTTATAATCAGTTATTTATTATTATTTTCAAATGATTATGTTGCATATTCACCAAGCATTAATGATAATTTATTTGAGTTCAGTCGATCTTGGCCAAAGAAACACTTTTGTTTTAATAGCGAACTGATCTTCCTACATAAATCCCAAATTTTAGTAAAATAATGGGACATCAACTCTGGGATACAGGTAAATCCAGCTGACGAATCTCTAATAGGATGAAACGCACGTCCTGGATTCCACTTCTAGCCACTATCCATCTTTACTTTTAATGCTTGTGAATTAAGGTAGTATCGAGGCGATACGCATAGTACGCACTTATACCAATAAGAGACTGATCAAATGCAGTCCAAAACATCAATGGGAAGATTCAAGTGAATAATGAAAACTGACACTTAATCATAATACGTTGTAATAAACACTTTAAGGTCGAACAGAATTTTAATGTGCATTAACTGAATTGTATTATTTAGGAATGGAGTTCACAGGCACTGACAAAGCGTCTAATGATTATTTCGTATCATTCACCGTTAACATAATAGCATATAATAAAATAACAGATAGTATTCTTATGTTTACATGAATGAAAAACATACATTTTAGTCTATGTTGCGTATGTGTAAGATATAAGAAATGAGTACTATCAAATGACTGTGTAGTCATTATTCACATTACGTTAAATGGATGTGACGAATGTGTTGAGAATCATGTCCAAATGATATTAACTATTACGTGTACAGACAAATCGCATTAATGTCGTCAAGTATTTAACTGCGTCATACATGTGCCATTATTTGTTATTCTTAAAAATGTGATTGTTGCAGTTTAATCCGTTTCGCGTATCACAGAATTTTTCATGCCGATTTCTTTCGAATACATGAGAACAATATGAATTCGGATATCGGAAATATAAGAAAAGGAACAGAAGCAACAGTAAAAATAGCTCATGGATACGTAACATTATATGCAGTAACGGCTGAACTGTTATTGAGAATACAGAGAACGTAAATGGAATGGGAACGACAATAATTTATTGATACAATTTGTATCGTAATTGAAATCAAATTGAGCGTGGCCCAAAAAATAGCCTTCTCTTGGTCTCTTGGTTCGAACTGCTTAAACATTCCGACCGATCAAGATGGGATGTCGCACAGTCTGTTATCATGAGCGTCTTTGTCTTCGTTGTCTCTGTCACTGGATTCTTCCGAGTGTATTGAAACACCATAATCTTCATGACTTAACGTGGCATCCTAATCAACGTTCATTAGGTAGTTCGGACTATTTGTCTTTTGGATTCCTGACATTTATTTATCCATGGAATTGAAGGCTTTGATCTGAGACTCATATGCTTCAGATAACGTCAACGGTACTTGTGGCATCTTTCTGTAAACCATGCTACTCGCGAAACTATAAACAACACTGTATTGTTACTGTGATGTATTACAAATTATGGAATATAGTCTTTTTTGGATGCTCAGCTGTATGAGTTGAACAGGCGAATAGTTATAAATAGCGACGCGGGAGGAGTTGTTAACTGAAGGCAACCACCTTACAACAACTATAAGATAGTAAGCAGAGATGGATAGTGGCTAGCAGTGGAATCCAGGACGCGCGTTTCGTCCTATTTCGAACTCGTCAGTTGGATGTACCTGCACCTCAGATGTGGTGTTCACTCAGGGACTCTAACCCAGTACCTTTCGCTTCAAACGCCATCGCGTTATCCACTCGGCCACTGAGTCCTGATAGCTTCTTGCTTGTGCGATGAGGTGAAATTTAAATTCATTTAGTATCCATCTCTGCTTACCATGCTTGTGAATTAAGGCTATATCGAGGCAATACGCACAGTATGCACATATGCCAATTAGAGACTGACCAGTTGTACTCCTAACACGTCAACGGGAAGAGTAAAACAAACGATACTAAATGAATTTAAACTATAAAATAGCTTTGGAAACTACGAAAAACAGTCAAGTATGAATATTTCTTTTTACCTGAACATATTTCGAGTGAATATCAGGCGGAAGAACAGTTGAGAGACTACAGATCGCAAACCATTCATATTACAATCAAAGGTTGATCTCACTCATTTAATAAATTACGCTCTATTTGATATTGCAAATGATTTTTATGTTGTGCCTCTGATTCTTATGGAAATGAGAATCAAGAAGCACATAATCACAGTATGTCGCCCTTTCACAATTTATGATGGCACTCTTCAAAGCTCCAAGTGATTGGACAGCTACCAGATACAACGTGCTCAAGAATACGTTATCGGTATTCATGAGAACGTTCGAAACAATAAAGCTAACACTTTATAAGATTTTTACGTTCATATTTTGGCGGAAATTTGATCGATCGAGAAATGTTTACCTTATACATTACTCTTCAGAAATATTTAACCGATAATTACCATTTTGAAACTAATCATTTCATAACACGAACCGGAGAAACTTTTAAGATAAAACGAAAATATTTTTACCACAATAAAATATAAAAATAACGGTGCTGTAAATGATACTCGTTATGGTTAGTGGTAATTGATAAATTCTTAGATGTGAATATAGTTACTCAATACAACAATCATACAAGTCCGAATGATGGGCATCTAATGGTATTCTATAATTTAAATTGGTCTTAATATAGTAATATGTATAATTAAAATTTCAAGCAAACATTCTTCTCAACCAAACTGATACTTACACAAGAAATCAACAATAGGTTGCCGATGGTAGCTATTCCGTGTGAGTATACTAATTCATCTGCTCCTCTGCAGCTAGTTACTTAGTACGCACTCAGATGGATTTATCCTTGTGTGTTGACATTGGTAAATAGTTGCTCAATTTCGTGGATCGGTTGAAGTTAGACATTAACACCGTTGGATGTCAGCTCAGTTTTTTATCGGTTAAGTGCTCACGTGCGAGACTGGTAGATCCTGGGTTCGAACCTCGCGAGACAGGATCGTGGATACACACTACTCAGGAGTCTCACAATAGGAGCAAACGGCCGTCAAGCAGTGGTTCCAGATTTTCCAAGGTGGTGTAGCTTCAATTGACTCATGATCTCAACTCAGTAAAATTACTAAAATCTCCACCAAACCCCTTCTTTATAAGATATCACATTATTTATTAAATTAAAACTGTAGAACAACTGTTTGCTCGATGATTCTTTATTTTTTGAATATTCTATAAAAATATTTAAACTATTGATTATGTCATATCTGAATACATATGAATGGTCCGAAGACAAATTTTTGCCGAAATAATAAATAATCAAGACTTCTACAAATATTTTACATCACTAAGCAATCCCTAATTTGGACTGTTAAAGGGAAGGTGAAAAGAAGAAGGCCAAAGAACACATTGCGCCGGGAGATTGAAGCAGATATGAAAAGGATGAATAACAACTGGAAAGATCTTGAAAGTATTACTCAGGACAGGGTTGAATGGAGAATACTGGTCGGTTGCCTATACTCCTCAATGAGAGGAAACAGGCGTAAATAAGTAAATAAGTAAGTAAGTAAGTCTACAAATAATCAACGGAGAAATGAATTCGTGGAGATTATTCGACATTGTACATTGTTCATTATGAAAACTGCAACAATTCCTTTCGTTAATATCTTGTATATCGAATCATAATTCATCTAATATTCTTGGAATAGTTTATGAAAATGTTAAAGGAGAATGTGAGGTGTTATCATTGAGAACATTTATGAATGTAAAAAGATGTCTAAGTTATTTTTCACCTTTGATTTTCTTGAATAAATTGGAAACTTTGTTTTTGATATCCAGAATACCTAAGACTATTTTAGCACCAACGCTGAGTGGTTTCTGAGTAGTGATTGTTGTTTCAGTATTATCTGTAATTTGTCGAAAAACAATGACAGAACTAAGTATTATAATCAGACGGAGTTTTTGTGGAGATTTAGTATTTTCATAGCTAAAAGCGTCAGTCAATTGCAAGCTGGACCATCAAGGAAAACCTGGAAGAATTGAACGGCCGTTTCGTCCTATTGTGGGACTCCTGAGCAGTGCGCATCCACAACCTCGCCTCGAGAGATTCGAACCGAAGATCTACCAGTCTCGCGTCAGAGCACTTAACCGATAGACTACTGAGTCGGCATCTGATGGTGTTTATGTCTAACTTCAACCAATCCACGAAGTCCAGCAACCGTTCACCAATTGTCTTCAATTGACTCACGCTTTCAACGATGAGAATTAAGTATATTGATAGTAACTAGATTATAAATTGTAAGTTCACACAAACCTACTGTACAACTTAACATTTGTGAAAATGAAACACACTTTCATGTTTATCATTGAGGTATGGTTCTTTTTATTCAGTAAGATATATGACTATTGTTTGTGGTAAATAGGTTGTTTGCAAACATTACACAGTATTACGTCTGAGAACAATAACTATTTTTGAACTACTTAATTTTATGAGTCTTTTTGTCAAGCTACATCACAGTAGTTTGTATAGTAAACGTTATATTGATCAAGGGAAACATTTTGCACCAAGGTAAACGGGAATAGCAAAAATCATGATCCAGAGGTTAACCACATGATATAGAGTGTTAGTTATGAGGTGCTTTTTGGTGTATCATAAGTGCTGAAAGTGTATCCACAGATGACAATGGTCAGCCATCTTACAATAACTAACTAAACATCTCTCTTAAACCATTCTCAACACAAATTGAACCCCTCAGTATTTGTGATTGAGCATAGGACATATCGAAGTGTCAACTATTCAACCATAACAGGTGAAACTTGACGATCATACTGACAGATATTCAACAATGATATTCATATAGACTGTTGACTTGTATCGACATGTAAATTGTTGGAAGCCAATAACATTTCAATTCGGCATCCAACAATATTATTGACCAATTTATCCCTATATTGTGTTATGACTTATATGGCAGGAAACAGTATAAGTTGTGCAGTTGGATCAACATATTTCAAAAATAAAAAATAAACTTGCAATTAGATGGATTTTGATAAACTTGAAAATTACACATTATTGGTTTGAAACAACACTCCAACATGAAATACTTTACCAAGATCAAATAATGTACCTGATTGATCGATCGATGTTGATGTGGTTTCCATTTGTTTAGTTGTTTCTACAAAACCGTTAAACAAAACAAATGCATGAAAGAACCGTTGACAATAGAAATAAATTTACTCACGTAAAAGAAACATGATCTCTTGTTTCCTTTTAAATATATTAGGATACATAGATCATGTACAGATTACGTAATAAATGTGGCATTATGTATAGAATTGTTTCTCAAATCCTACTTTCCTTTTACGGGTTGTTTTGGAAATAATATGAATGTTTTTAACACTTATCTATTATATAGTTGAGATCATGAGTCAATTGAAGCTAGACCACCATGGAAAACCTGGAAACCGTGGACGGCCGTTTCGTCCTCTTATGGGACTCCCCAGCTGTGCGAATACACGATCCCACCACACGAGATTATAACCCAGGATCTACCAGTATCATGCCAGAGCACTTAACCGAAAGACCACTGAGCTGGGTTCGAATATCGCGAGTTGTGATCGTGGATGCGCACTGCTCAGGAGTCTCGCAATAGGACAATAGGTTTTTCATGGTGGTCTAGCTTCAATTGACTCATGATCTCAACTCCATAAAATTACCAAGTTCTCCACATAACCTCCTTCTGATACTTATCTATTAGCTTAAAATAGATGAGTTCCAATTATTATTTTACAAATGTACTTCTTTGTTAATAATTAATAGGTTGTGAGATAAATGATGTTGATGCATGATGGTGTGACGCGATTATTTTATTCCAACTTACGATCCATTTTTGTGTGACATAGTGTCGCTCTGTTGAAATTGCTCATCGCATATGTAACTAGTTTTGAAATTTGCAACATACAGACTTTGTGTTTATACACTTGCCTAAATAGAATTCTGTTAGCTATTTCTTCAGTGTACGAAATGATGAAGTTAAGAGATTATTGACACTGATAACATGTAAAATGCATCACAAAAATGTGACTTCTGAATAGGTATCAATTAGGTTTTAGATACAGTCATTTGGGATACTCATTGAGATACCTGTATTGAATTATAATTTGTAGATAACAAGTACCGAGGTATTGTAGATGATAAACAAATCATCAAATATCAGTACAAAACTCTTGATGTTGAGATGATAAAGAGTTATCCAGCGGTGAAAGGTCACAAATGCTTGCTGAGATGAAACGCAATAATCATATCATAGCAAATAATACATTCAGTATCAAACTACAGAACAATAATAGCTTGAATATCTCAAACTTAAGAAGAACTAAGTGTATATGAAAACAGTATTCCGCTCTATGATGTTTCAAGTAACCACTGTGTCTTTCTCTAGTTTATCATGCTAATGTACTACAATTAAATAGGTATTTTAAATTGGATATACTCACCGGATGACTTTTCTGTCCTGTTAGTCCTACAGAAAATAGAAAACCTCCATTAGTGTCACTCTAAAGAATGGAACACAATAATTTTTAATATTTGTTTAGAAAAAAATACCAGTACCTAAAGTAGTGAAAATAGATAGATATTTTACTGTAAATATATGGTGATGGATTAAGGACTTTCCATAGATAAGGATGAGGATTTCAGAGTTGTTTTGTTTTATGAGATGGATCATATAATCGTTTCATTTGCTGGATAGTAATAGCAGTGTGACTGATCAACAAAGATGCATACAAAGTCTACTGAACGTAGCAAAGACAATATAGTACCATTATAAGTGCAAGATAGTATGAAAGAAATTACCTACAATATGCATTACAGAAAGCTAACTAGCCACTAAACTCCACCATGTAATGTGTATCAAACCTATCATTATGTACAAAATTAACATCAGAAATCAGTTTACGAATAATCTTATCCTATATAATTAACATCATCGAGATCACACATCCATTATTAGGGATCCTTGGGTAATGTATAGGAGCCAATACTATAATTCAGAAAGCCTACCGTTTGCATCATCTTCTACGCCATTCGATCGGTAATCAGATAAGTCTTGAACAGGAACGATAATATGTGTCTCTACGCTTCATCTTTCTCACTGTGCATAGTCAAAAATATACAGTTGTTTCTCAAAGAGTCTGTTTACAGAGTATCGAAGACAAGGGTGGGTGCAAACGTGAAAGGTGACAAGGGGCTGCTTTCAATTCCTCACATATAGAAATATTGCGGGTAAAATTCGAGGAAACCCAGGAAAGTATTTCATGAACACAGGTTGTTATCCGTGGTGGCAGGCATGGAAGTATTAGATTCCACAGGAGTGTTTCTGGGTGTGTGAAGAGTATAAATAGTGGGAGGAAGTAAATGTAAGTGATTGAGCAAAGATCATCCGTGGTACTGCTTAAAGAATGTTCATATCTGTCACTTCCTGCCAAAATACGTGGTGTAGAGATAATGTTTTCTGTAGTTGCCTGGTACAAAGAATGACTTGGATGAAGCACTGACAACCTGATAGCCTGATTACCGCTTCAAGAGAAATTGGCTTAAAGAACTATGAACACGGCCTATTGATGAGATTTTTTATATGAGATGCGCCGTATCGTAGTTACGTTAGAAATCGCTCATACAAGAGGTGTATTATTTTCAAAATAGACTTTTGAAAACCTACATATCGTCGGATGAAACCAACTACAAGCATAGTGTTCATAAATATCGAACACCTGGCTACAAAGAAGCTTTGGAACAGTTTATAATTCGTATTGGTATAACATAATACCATGACATAATCATGAAAGGTTTCATTTTAACAGAATACTTACCGCCCCCCACACTTCCGCTCGCATTCGTCCTTGCTTATAAAGTTGTTTCCATTTCCAAGACATCCACCGTAATAAAATATTTCACAAGTTTGATTTACACTGTCGTAGTAGAAACGTTTCAATAGAGCTCTGCATATGCCCTCGTCGTAATCTAGAAGACAGTCCGAATTTCCTAAAACATAAATAAAATAAGTGTTTTGTTATTGGTGAGATATCTTGTTACTTCAGCTAAGTTGACAATAATTGAAGTGAAGATTTCATTTAAAACTTTGACACGCGTTAATCATCAAGTGGGCATTAATAAAAAAAACTGTTGTTGATCATCTGGTAGTATCAAATAACACGAATGTCTATTAAATTATGAAAGCTAGTGTGAAGTGTGGTCACCGATCTCAGTTCATCATTATTGGGTGTACGGTCTTTTGATATACAATGGTTAGGTGGTTAGAATGAAAGATTCTATGAGTGATTTATGCCACTGGTCATCCCTATGTCATCCCTATGATTTTGATAAAACTGGTGTACTCTGTAGAAGTTACGGTTTTTTTCCACCTAGTTCAGAATCAGTAAGGTTATCACTGAGCCATTCAGTAGACCATGAATGTCTCAACCAGAGGATAACTTGTATTTAGAGTTCCCGGCCCACTAACGTTGACAGTTAAGACCGAACACTTTTTATAAAATGATTGATTATTTTTTGGTGTTACACTATTTATTACTTGTACAGTTGAATCCTTATCAAATCTGAATAGTTCTTTGACGAAAACTGCCATATCTTCTGTAAATTTGATATGTGAATTCGATTTGTCATTAGTAATTATTCGCAAGCATTTTCTAATCTTTTGGCCACACAGACTCACTCACAATAAGTGATAATTATTCACTTAAGTTCATCCAAATAAATCAATCAAGTTTTTTTCGTTTACAGAATATCTGAGCACTGGGTTGGAGAATGCTGGTCGGCGGCCTATGCTCCATTGTGAGTAACAGGCGTTAGTAAGTAAGTAAGCAAGCATTGTAGACTTGCTTAAAAACTATAATCGTTGGTGTCACATTCAAATAATAATTTAGTCAATAATAATCTGAAAGGAAATCTCAGTAAATGCATTCCACAATACCTTACCAGTCTTAAAAACTATCCATCGATCACAATATGATACATTATTACAATGTAAATACAAGTAAAACAATTCACAATAACTAACCTTTTCGATATGATGCAACACTCTGTACACATAGAAGTAGTAATGTTCCATATAAACAAAAGGAGAACATCTTTACTTACACGTTATGTTTCACCTTTATTTATATATAATTCAATAATCCGTTTGTTTACATTATGAAAAAGTTCTAAACCGAGTAGGTGTATACAATAACGATGTGATTCATGTGTATCCGATAATCAGTTTATTCGATGAACAACATTATTAATCACATGCTCCTTAATAGCGTAGTGAGCCCTGTCATTAATCGTAAGTATATACAAAGCTTTTTGTGAATAACGTTAAAAAAAGCTCCATTCAAATTAAACCACCTAATCCATGTTTACAAAGTATTGTTCTTTTTTTCATTTACCCCACACACATTGCACATAACCGTTTTTGTATAGGACGATTTTTGGCTGTTTCTCACTGAATATTCGGAAATGCTACCAAGAAATGTCTTGATGTCGTTACGACGATACCTTCTTTATTCGATTTAACAAATGGTAATTGTTATTATTATTAAAGATGTTAGTTGATGGTGAGAAAGCAAAAGTGATTCGAAGAAGCGTTTTGGCAAAGTAAAGAACGTTGAACAAAACCTGAACTATTGAAGTCGTTGATTCAAATCAAATCAGAGCATAAGAGATTTATTCCATGTGCAGATCATTTGCAGGATGTCCAGCGGTGTGACCATTCATTCAATGCTAAAATACAAATTCAGTCATGCTTAAACTAGACAATATTAGCAAATTGATCATAATTCAAAGTGAAGTGACAATGTAGATAGTTTTCGTTGAAGATTCTGTTTGAACTGTGTCGGGTGACGAATGAAGTAGTACTTTGTGATAGCTGTTCCAACGATATATATCATGATAAGTGTCAACTGTAGAATACTCATTGAATAAGTAAATAAATTATAACTTTCGTCACGTAATGTGAGGTTTGAAAGTGTGGAAATGAACCCCTTTCTTATGAAAAATCTCTTTATTCTAAGGACTTATCCAAGAGACTGAACTACTGATGAAGACCTAAAATAACTCAGGAAATATTGTAATCATTTTGTGAGAAGTTCCATTAAAATCATGTATATATATGCTGAAAATGATTAAAATTTTAACCAGACTGTAATAAGCTAAACAGCATATGAAGTCTAAATCGCTTTAACCTTGTTTGTTATTACCACCAGTCTATCCAACTAGGCGACTGAGATAGGCATGAAACCGAAGTTCTAAAACTATCGTTTTGTCTGAATAACGATTCTTTTATTAGGAATGTATATAAATTGTTTAAAAACTTCAACTCTTAAGGTGGATGAGGAGGTTAACGCTTCATATAATGATAACATAAAAAGTAGTTAGAGCATGTCAGATAGTATTTATTTATTATTGTTTGTTTGAATATTCTGATTGATGTTTAGGACTGCAACTGGTCAGTCTCTTATTGGCCATATGTGCATATTGCCTCAATATTGCCTTAGTTCACAAGCATTATAAACAAAGATGGATAGTGGCTAGCAGTGGAATCCAGGACGCGCGTTTCCTCCTATTTGAGACTCAGTAGCTGAGTGGATAACGCGATGGAGTTTGAAGCGTAAGGTACTGGGTTAGATTCCCAAAGTGAACATCAACTTTGAGATGCAGGTACATCCAGCTGACGAGTCCCAAATAGGACGATACGCGCGTCCTTCATTCCACTGCTAGCCACTATTCATCTTTGCTTATGTCAGATAGTAGTTGTGTCTAATGGTAACAAAGGTTTATCGACAACCGAAATGAAGACTAAGAGCAGAGAATTATGAAAGCTGTTGTGTTTAATTTAAGAACTACATATATAAGCGAATAAAATTGTCTTCACCATGCTTTATGCTATAATACAATGACATGTATATGCATATACTAAACTATTAGACCATTCAAGGCAGCTTACGAGTTATTGATAACAGTGAAATAGATTACATAAATAAACACCGTAAACAAAATGTACAAATTCATAGTCTGATAACAAGTGTACGAGTTGTGATAAGAATAACGAAGGATTGGATCAATGTTTCATAGGTTAATGATTAGAAGAATATAGACACTGAAAATATATGACATTACGTAGCAAGAAGAGTTCAGAAAATTGGACGATGAGACGTATATTTGAAAAACGCAAGGGGCCACGCGTATTTAGCATCTGTCAGGCAAGTCCTACTCACTGCATAGTCATGGCATTACTGTTGTTTACGAAATTGAGAGGACAAATAGCGAATGTCCGTCGCTTTAACCGGGCTTGTGGACACGGAAAGTTCACCAAAAGGAGTTGGAATACCCTCATTCCAAACAAATGGTGCACATGAGCTCCAGTATCCTGAGGGAACAAATGGCATATGAACCAATCGTTGGTCACCGGATACCATGGGACTGCACCTCCTTACAATGCTCCACTGCCTTGTGGATGAGATCTTTAGGTCAAAGGCTCCGCATGTGGCTCTTTAAGAAAATCACCTGCTTCAGTTTGAGTACCTGAGCAGTATCGCAGCCCTCACACAAATCAAATGAGATTTATGTGGCGCTTATATATCTCGTGCCCCTTCGTACCAATATTAATATGAAGGAAAAAGCAATACCGTGTAGATAATGAGAGAAAAAGGAGTTTCCAACTCTAATGGTAATAGTAATTATATTAATAATAATATAGGTAGTGATTATGCTGATAATGATGACGATGATCATGTTTAGTGCATATAGACGGGGTTAAGCAAAATAAGGATACACTACAACAAATAATAATTAATCAGCTAATCATAATCCATTAAATTTATTGAATTATAGAAATTAGTGATATTATTAGTTAAGTGTAAATTAATGAATAAAACAGTTAAATAAAGTAGGAAGAAAGTGATACCGGGTCATGATAGTAACAATTCAGTTTGGAGAATGGATTTGTACACAGTTAGATTGAAAATAGAAAAAAACGCCTGTTATCTCAAGAAGTGTATACATATCTGTTGAAGTATATACAGTTCACTTCAATTTATTACGTTGAAGAGAACATAAATTTATGTAACAAATTGTTACTACTTTTATAGTGTATTGTTACTTATGTTAACAGATATAAGTAGTATGTAACACTAATCGAAAGTGGAAAACTTAGCACTAGAAGGTTAAGAAGATCGAGTTGAAAAGAATATAAAGGGAAATAGAAAAGAATCGCTACTTGGAAGAATCATATAGGAAGTGGAGGACAAATGATGGAAATTACCAAATGAAGTATTCAGTGTATGGCTTTCATATTTTGCCAAGAGATTTTGTAATTCAGTATTAAACAAGAAATTGGTTGTCTCCACCCGATTTCTCTTTCACTAGGCTATTATTATTATTATCATCATCAGAAGGGGGTTTCGGGGAGATTTTAGTAATTTTATATAGTTGAGATCATGAGTCAATTGAAGCTAAATCACTATGGAAAACTTCGAAGCACTGGAAGGCCGTGTCGTCCTATTGTGATTTCAACCATGAAATTAAAGAAAAAACAGATTAACAAAGAGTATAGGAAGTATTAATAAATAAAATCTTCTATTAAAGCTGATTCGACCAAAGAAAAGATAAGGGTGTTGCAAATATCTCATGAGTACACAGGCTTTTGATGATATCCTTTACCAACCACGGAGCGAGGTGTTTCACTAGCTCGTTGGGTCACGTTCTGGTACTGAGCCCAATACAACTTTCGCCACAGGAGCAGGTGAATTCGTAGATACATATAGAAGTGGCATAACCAGGTAACTTATCTTTTATCTGAGGAATTATCATAAATCGGGTCGGGCATATAGACAGAGATTGACCGCATTAAACATTCTATTCACTGCTTTAGTCATTCTAACCCGTAGCACATTACCAGTTAAATCTCCATTGATTTGCACCTTTAGGAAGAAGGGTTTCTTACTAGCCGTTGATGTAGCTATTTCCTTGTTTGTTACATGCAAGTGTTTCTTCAGCAAACCCTGCGGATAGCCCATTTCAATCAACACACTAAGAACAAACTTTAGTTTATTGTTTACGGTGTTGTCGGTGCATATCTTCCAAGCTCTATTTGCAAGAAATCTAATTAGGTTTCTCTCCTGATAAGTGGGTAAAAAGCTCAAGCATTGTGTGTCCTGGCTTTCTGAAGAACCTTTCCTTTTACTCACTTCTACTGATAGAACCACTTACATTTCTGTTTAAAAATACATAGAAGAAATGATGTTTATCATTGAGCTCCTCTTCCCACATAGATTTGATTACCGTTAAATTATTGTTAATTAGCTGTAAAAGGATTTTGTTTTCCACTGTTCTCAACGACGACAATAAAATTATCACCAGTGTAACAGCAATAAAAGTCGATTTTATCAACAACCTATTTGAGAGGTCACTTTTATAGTTTTGTGGGAAAAAGGTCAGCGAAACTGTCGCATTGAAAATAGTTTTGTTCTCTAATATTTTTTAAAATTCACAATATAGGAATTTTTAAAATTTTAAATCAATAGGACGAAGGACGCCTCCAACCACCATCTTATCTCAACATAGTGCACGCAGTGTCGAGCCACCTAGACTAGTGGCCACATTGAAACTTGATCGATAGTATTCGATTTGCACTAAGAACGACTTGACACACATGACATTGATCACCATCCAGTGATCAATCCATTGTGAAAGTGAGAATTGCTGTTTCAAGGGTTAGGGTAGAGTAATGATGATGGTAATGATAATAATGATGATAAATATAGCCAGTGTTATTAGTTTGAATAAATACTTAATGATATCACATAGCGAATCAACATGCTTTATACCATATGTTCTGAATTTATCAGTAACAGAACTGTTTACTGAATATTAACTAGTAGTCGAAAACAATTTCGAATAACCAAATGAGTGAGACGAATATGAAGATGGAATGTAAATGAATTTAACATTCTTAATAACTATATTTTCCCCTAGGAAATACTGACCTATAGCACGTGTAATTCTTAGTATCTATGTCCATATCATTCTCATGAATGGTTATATGTATATCTGTATACTCACTAATTTATCTAATGTCTGTCTGTTTGTCTTATTGAG